AAAGTTTTGTAGAAGAAATGAAACAGAACCCAGAGGTAAAGGAGAAAAGGATCAAAAAGAACCTGCCCTTTTATTGGGTCACACTGCTACCTTATTTCTATTTCCTTGGATACACTTAAAAGGATTGCCCAAGGAAAACTGGAGGCAGACTGCACTTAGGAAAAAAAAAGCTTTCTTTCAAAGGAGTCAGACTTCAGAAGGACTGGCTCACCAAATATAAAAATCCAACAAGTATTTAAAGGGAAAAAAAAATCCCAAGAGAATCAAGGTTAGTAAATTTACACTACTCTGCCTCCGGTGGTTAGCGGCAGCTTCCTCACGTGATTACACTAATCCTAAAAGCTAGGACACCGGCTGGGAAAAGCAAAAGTCAGCTAAAATTCTTGTTGCTGTAGAGTCCAGGTCCACAGGAAGCAGTTAAGGTTTTATAATTTGGGGACTCTGTGATTTTTGGTTTCAGCTGAGGAATTGTGACTTCTTCAATGATACTGGAAGTGGGATAAAATGTCAGCTTTGGCTTCTACAGAGTGAAGAGCAGTTTTATTTTTTTAAATGCCAAAATTTACAGTATGCTGGAAATCACATACTTCGCAACCATGTAAACTTCATGGTGAAAAAATGGTAGCTGTCAATCTTAAAAGGTGTCAGGGACCATTATTTTTTAAAATTCTTTTCCAGGCCATGTGGGTGAAGACACTTGGAGGCCATGACCCTAGGCCAGTTCCTTTTTGGACAGAAGAAGAAACTGAGGTTTAGGGGAGGGGAGTGACCTGTCCACTGTCCATAGCTGATAACAAGCAAGGGAGGCAGTGCAAACACCCAGCAGTCCAGGAAAGATGCCACCTCCACCACCCATCATTAGAGAAAAGTAAATTAATACCACAGCGAGATGCCACTGCACACCCCCTAAGATGGCTAGAACTTTTTATTTTAAAAAAATAGTAAGTGTTGGTAAGGAGGCGGAAATATTGCAGCCTTCAGAGATGGCAGGCAGGAGTGTAAAACGATGCAGCTGCTGTGGGAATTCTGACAATTCCTCAGTAAGTTGCACATGGAATAATTTATCGAATTATTGAAATTATTTGAATAATTTATTCAAACTTTTTTTTTTTTGAGACGGAGTTTCATTCTTGTTGCCCAGGCTGGAGTGCAGTGGCCCGATCTTGGCTCACTGCAATCTCCACTTTCCAGGCTTAGGTGATCCTCCTGCCTTAGCCTCCCAAGTAGCTAGGACTACAGGTGCCTGCCACCTGTAATTATCAGCATACCCAGCTAATATTTGTATTTTTAGTAGAGATTGGGTTTCACACTGGTCACCAAATCCTGACCTCAAGTGATCCACCCACTTTGGCCTCCCAAAGGGCTGGGATTACAAGCAGTGAGCTACTGTACCCAGCCAAAAATGTCTTTTAAAAAATTAAATTAGCTGGGCACAATGGCACATGCCTGTAATTCCAGCACTGTGAGAGGCAGAGGCAGGAGGATCACATGAGCCCAGGAGTTCGAGACCAGCCTGGGCAATACAGTGAGACCTCGTCTCTACAAAGTTTTAAAGTTAGCCAAGTGTGGTGGTGCATGCCTGTAGTCCCAACTACTCAGGAGGCTGAGGTGGGAGGATCGCTTGAGCATTGGAGGTTGCAGTCAGCCGAGATTGTACCACTGTCCTCCAGCCTGGGCAACAGAGCAAGACACTGTCTCAAGAAAAAAAATCATATTAAGTAACAAAGAATGAGTTGATTTAAAGAGAAATGTTGACTAAGTAATAATTAAGGTGGCTGGGGAACATGACAAATTACATACAAGAGGTTGACCAACAGCAAACCTGCTGGGGGTCATCAAGCTCTGGCCTGCTTCCTCTGCCCATCAACCATGTGGCCAGCCCAAGAAGCTTCTGGAGGGTAGCACTGGCCTCCCATGGGCAGCATCCAAAGATTCCCCTCAGTCTTCCCTGCCGAATGCACGGTGTTTACCAGGTGCCCTGCACCCTTCCTGGCTATCGGATGACCAAGTCAGGACTGCTCAACACCGACTTTGCAGTTGACTGTGTGAAGCTCATTTTACCATCAGCCCAACTGAAACAGACTTGGAAGAAAACCACAGGTGACACAAAGCCATGCACTGCATACTGGAGCCACTTGGAGCTGACTGGGGACGAGTCACACAGATACATCATCCACACAAACCTGTCAACCCAGATCCTTCTCTGAATTTAGCCAGTCCAGGTGCTAGCAGTACCACACAAAACATCCAGGTACTGACTGGGGTGATTCTTGCAAGGCAGGTCACACCACTGGGACACAGAACACCAGCTTGGGGACAGGCGTGGTGGCTCACTCCTGCAATCCCAGAACTTTGGAAGGCCAAGGCAGGTGGATCACCAGAGGTCAGGAGTTTGAGATCAGCCTGGCCAACATGGTGAAACTTTCTCTCTATTAAAAATACAAAGATTAGCTGGGTATGGTGGTGGGCACCTGTAATCCCAGCTACTCGGGAGGCTGCAGCAGGAGAATTACTTGAACCCAGGAGGCAGAGGTTGCAGTGAGCCAAGATCGCGCCACTGCACTCCAGCCTGGGTGACAAGAGCAAAACTCTGTCTCAAAAAAATAAAAAGAAAAAGAAACAGAAGAGAAGAGAAAAGAGAAGAGAAAGAAAAGAAAAGAAAGAAAAGAAAAGAGAAAAGAAAAGAAAAGAAAAGAAAAGAAAAAAAAAAAAGAAAAGCCAGCTTGGTTAGGAGGCCCCTCCCCAGTAGAGTCAGCTCTGTATACTGTCACCAGGAGGCGGCGCTCTTGGGCCCCTCAACACTCCTGGAAGCCTTCCTCACTTCCTCGGGCACCTTTTGAAGCAGTGAGAGTTGAGAACTCCCTTCTGTTCCTCCAGCTCCTCCTTCTCCTCCTCCTCCTCCTCCTTCTCTGAAAAAGCTTCAGTCAAGCTTAGA